CAACACGCCACTCCATCAAATCATCCGAGAGAGTCCCCCTAGAATCCCCCACAGCCCATGATCCCAAAGAAGGCAATTCCCATAAACACCGTTCCAATCGCTCCGCAACTCCCGGAATCGCTTGTTCCCGCCGCGAAAGCGACAGTTGGTGTTCCGGCACGCGGAAGGAGCTGCCTGATTGTTGTCGAAGTCCCCCAGCCCGCGTTCCACGGGAATCCCGTGAAAGAATGCCGGGACACGAAACCGGCGAGTCATGAATAGATGAGAGCCAGATAAAATTGAAAAGTTCGCCGTGCGGCCGCCGACAGCGATCCTGCGCACACGGCTCGGCACTTTCGGCCGCGCGCGGCTTCTAATTTTCCTCTCGAGCCTCCGTTTCCTCGCGGCGGGATTACGCGCTGCCGAGTTTATAACCGGCGCGCATTCAACGCGATTTCCGATCTGGCGGCCAGAAAGGAGGCTGTTTAGCCGGCCGGCGCGCAACGCTTCGCTCTCGACCACCACGGGCTACGTGACCCCGCGTTCACCGGCCGTTTTTCTCCTTTCGCTCCCCTTCCTGCAGCTTTCGGGGTAATCTCCGCGCGATCCCCGGTGAAAGGGAGGGAGATAAGGCGGGGCTCGCTGCGCTAAAATTCGAAATTGAGGCGACCACCTCGGGGAGCCTTTTATCGAGTCACGCTCCATGGGGGTTGCGATGGCTGCAAGGCCAGTGGAGTCGTGGGAATGCGATGTTCGCCTGTGGATCTGGGAAATTGGGGACTAGATTCGGGGCTTGAGATTCTGCGTTTTTAGGTGTGCTTTTGGTTTAGGGAACGAGGTGTCGTATATCTGAAATGGGGATTTAGATCTGCTCTGAACGATACAATTAATGAATAGTACGAACATTAGAATTACTAGAATTAATTAATAAAATTAAATAACTTACTTAAACAACCTAACGCGAACGATGAATTTCACGATGATAAATATAACGTCTCTCCCGAATTCTCTCGTTTCAATCTGACGATGTTATTCGTTTTCCAGGCAACCGTCACCAGGATCCGGCACAACCGGCACGTCGACGGTCTCCTCGAGCGCCCCTGACGTCGAGAATGGCCAAAGCATCAGTCTGTACCCAGTGGGCAGCGCTGGCCCAGCGCCAACGGACCCAGCGGCGGTCACGCCGATCACGACCACAGCAGCGATGCCATTGGCCACCGCTGGCACCGTTGCTGGGTCCGGGACTGGGCCCAGTATCACTAGAAGCGCGTCAGCTCCCACAGCTCCTAGGCCGCTCGTCCAGGTGACCAGCTCTGCGAGCACACCTGGCTCCCAGAGGCCTAGGCTCAGGAGAAACATGAGTCGAACCGAAGCTATCAGGAAGTAAGTTTCCATACATTAACAGAGGCCGAACCGTGGCGCATGCGCCAAACCTGGCACAGGATGATTACGATCATCTGATTCTTTTTATCACTTCCTGCTGTGATATTTACAATTAACACGTTAACTTCTTACGGACGAATGTCGACGAGATCAAACTCATATTTGGTACACTAAATGATTTAACCCTTTGCACTCGAGAGATGGCTCTCTCACCATTTGATTTGATACAGCAAAACTATGAAGTTGAATATTTAGTATTTTGAATTAGACTTCGTATTGCTATGTGAAATGTTTAAATAAAATAGGTTCGTTGCTTAATTTATAAGTGAATCATCGTCAAATTAGTTTGAAACAGTATCATCTACATCTCGTTGGAAAATGTTGGGTACTTCTAATGAGAAACTCTCGAGTGCAAAGGTTAATTACTGGAACAGCAAGAGATCAATGTTTCTTTTTATTCTTTAAACAATCATAATTAGCTTCATCTGCTGATGCTTTTGTGTGCTTCAAAGAATGGTCCGTAAAGGGTTAAGTGAATTTCTCGTCTGTATTACGTCAACTTGAGGCACATCGGGTTCGTTAAGGGTTAATAGGGAAATTCAAGGGAATGAAGTTATCCGTTTCGCATGCAGATTCGTCGTATAAAACGGCCGCAACGATGAAAATCTCGTTTCAGTTACATCAAACGCGAAACGGCGCAGTTCTTCGGCGTGGACGAGGAGTCCGAGTCCGCGGAGAGACAAAGATGGCTGGACCGAAGACGGAGGATGGCGTCCAGGAAGTACGGTGCCCTCGTTCCGGAACACAGACCGCCGGATCCCGATATTACGAGGGACGTGCCAGATACTACGGATCTGCCAGAGGTGAGCTCGACGGTTATTAACCTTTCGAATATGACGATGCCGGCCGTGTTTGACAAACCTACGGAAGCCAACTTCCCGTGGAAGCTTAATTCCGGACACTTCATTGTTGTTGGGTCGCTCCTCTACTCCCGACGCCGAAAATCCGACCGTCTTTCTCAATTATCTGGAGCTTATTGCTCGAACCTGGCGCGCCGCTTCGCAGTTCATTGTTTGGAACTTCTTACAGTTAATGCTTCATAGTTAATATTCTCCGGTGAACTGTTAACTAATCCTGAATACGTACAGCTTGCCCGGGAAATATTTATTCGCTCGACGAACGAATCGATCGAAGGAAACTCGGAATGGAACTTCGAGTGAACTTTTAACACTAGAACTATCGAGCAGTTCAATTGACTAGTAAATATTAATAAATCAACTGTTTTAATCGGTACTCTATCGATTACTTTCGGTAATAATGGAGTAAGCGAGGAATAGGTCGTTTTCATGCATCTAGTTCTAGTGTTAAATATTCGAATGACGTTTCAACCCATTCGAGATGGATTTTTGTTGAAGGTAACGAAAGAGTAGGTTTGTAAATGTCGATGAATTTATTCGAAATAACAGGAGCAAACGGGAGCAGTTAAATTTCTTTACTTCAAAGTTGCAGTGTCGAAAGGGTTAGAGGAAATTTAAATTGAGAATCTTCGCGTGTATGGTTCGTCGTTTTTCATCACCAAGTTTTATATATGTTTGCTTTGAATCTCATAATTGAAGTATTTATATTTTTATTAGTAAAGAATCTCTATAATGTTTAATTGGACGGTCGCGCATAGCAGGGACTGAAAAGAATTCGCTGATTCAGGGTTGAACTTCCGTGTAATTTAACGGGGAGTTGAATTGTTCTGCTTAAACATTGAGATATTGGCTCGAGTCCCATTAAAACTTGTTCAGAACGGAAACGCGACATACTTCGCGAAGTTTTGCAATACCGGGGGAAGTATACGTTTGTTTACTTTTTCTCGAGCAGTTTCGCTAACTTCGGGCCATGTTTTTACGCGGAAGTGTTGTATAAAAGGACTCCTTCTTCGTTTGGAATGAGCCGTTTCTTTCCCCCATGAAATTCTCCCGTATAACCGGGACAACGAGTCGTTGGTTATTAAGTAAACTTTTCCTTTAGTAGAACGAAACATTGAAAACATACTTTGGAACGTTCAAATTCTGTTGAACACTTCGCTGTCGTTAGAACTAAATAACAAATCGTCGTCTTCACTATTACCCGTTAATTAAACTGCATTCTTCGTTCAATGCTTCTACCAGAACCAATATTTTTCTACGAAACCCAACATAATTCTCTATTTTTCCATCGTGGTTACGATAATTTGTTTTACCAGGGCGTTACACTGAGAAGATGGCAACAACCAGTCAGAAGGAAAGACTCTGTGGCAAGAATGACGCTTTCCGGTCTCCATTACGTCGTCGAGGTGAGTTTTTTATTTTATACCATCGATCTCCTTCATAGCCACTTAATATGCATGAAACTGTAATCTAGATTAAATTTTCCAATAGACGCAAACTTGACAATGCATATTACAATGTAATGCACTTAACATTCTTCAGTTTTCATGAGTTCCATACTTATTTTAATCCAAACAGAAGTTTCTATATACTTTTAACAAATTCAAATTTATATTAACACATAAAATTCATTTCCAGTCCAACCGACCCATTCCTGATCTTCATTTCGCAATCGTTAAAAAGATAACAGATGTTTCTCTGAGAAATCATCAAAGAAATCTACCCAGTAATGCGTGAACTGAATTCTAAATCAATGAAACTCTCGATAGACGCGCTCTTGATAGAGAAATTTCCAAAAGTCCATTCAACTACCAGGTATATTTACCGTTAAATAAACAATTTCACACTTCGCGTTGTAATGAACGAACCCGTTCACCATTCAACCCTACAATCTCCAATTTACCCATAACATTATCCCTCGAAAGAAATACTGGGCCAGGAACACGAGGGAGTTCCATCGAACGCGCTCAACTTTTTCCTTCGATCCGAAATTATCGAAGTTGCCCGGCGCTAAACGTTTACCGGAATCGAACTTTAAGGTCCGGCCACTCGAAGTTTTTTCATTAACACTGCCGGCCGAATAATATTCCTCGAACGTCGAAATGACGAGCAATAACTTCGCCGTTGATTATAGATCGCGCGGCGACGGTTCGTTTTTAATTACGGCCGATTTTCAGCGATATTCTTTCTCCCTTCCCCGTATCTTCCCACCTGCCCGCCTCTCCCGAAGGAAGAGCTTCGCCTTTTATTACGGGCTCGTTGGAAGTACACAACAAGTTCCCCATTGAGCGAAACAATCTCGTTTCCACATAACTTGTAGCGGAAATTCCAGTGAATTTTCATCTCCGCCGTCGGCCGGGGCCGAACTTATCCGCCGTTATCTTGTCTGGTTAATTAGTTTTTCGACTTTGTTTCGAGATTCCATCCCGTAGACGGCCGCCGCGGAGATATGAAAGGACGCGGAGCGGAAGTCGAATAAATGAAACGGCTCGGATTAATAGAAACGCCCCGGGAAACCGTGAGCAAGCCGCTTTTTACCGAGCAAAAACTGTTTAAATGTTTCTCCCGTCTCGCCTCTTCGCTGTCCGATGTAAAACTCGAATGGGGAACGGAGGTAAATCCTTTGAGTGTTCTTGGGGGATAAAGCTCTCCCATTCCCGGCGTGCCATTATTAAAAATTCCTGGTGTATCGTCCGCGGAGCATCGATTCTCGCGGACCACGGACCGCAAGCGACGATTCACTCGGTCGGAAGTATTGTAAACATTTCTGAGATGCTGGTTCGACGATTCTCTCTTGATCGTGGTGTAATTTGCTAATGATCTTCGTACATTCGTTGGAGTAATCAGGGAGTGATAATTTTTTATTAATATCGAATGTGATTGTTTTAGTTGATACTAGTATTTCGAGTAATTTGGGAAGTAGATCTCGTCGATGCTAACATATGAAAACATACCGTACGAAAAATAGTGAATCTAGAATAAGTTAGATATAATATAAGCTCGTAGGTTTCTGTTTGTATAACTTAAGGATAATTTCTAAAGGATGGCGTACCGTCGAGCAAGCAGTGGCTTGAACCTTCATTTAGTTATTTAATTTCCAGTAGAAACTGAATTAGGTCCGCGCCGCGCAATACCGTCCCTTCATCCTTGCTTTTAAGGCTGTTCCCAACGCGCAGACCTCACGTCCGACTTCCAGAGCTGCGGAGAATGACACTTCTGCCGCTTTACGTCGCGCTGTGAACACAAGCCAAGAGCGAACAGACAAAGAAAGTACATTCAAACTAGAGACAAGGACAACATGTAAACACTCTTTGACATTTTTCTTCGACGGCACTCTTCCTCTTCCGGCGCTTCCGTACGTCGCGTCCCGACGATTCTCCCCGGAATCGCGTGGAATTGGCGGGATAAGAAAGCAGTAAAATTGAATTTAAAAACTGCAGCTGTTTCTACGATTGTCTCTCGCGAAAGAATTACCTTCTCCCATTTTCGCGACGACGCAACGGATTTAAAGTTGAATTTAAATGCTCCGGCCTTCTGTACGATTGTCTTATCAAAGAATTACCTTCTTCCATTTTTCTGACAGTACAATGGATATAAGAAACGATAGAAATTAGCCCTTCTAACTGACAAAGAAACATTGACGTTTATCATTCTTAAGCTCGCCTTCGACCTAGAAAACGAGAGCTTTAGAACACATACACCTTCTCTATACAATATCAAGTTATTCTGCAACGTTGATGTTCAAATTAATCCACAAAAATATTATCTTCCACCATTATTATTCCACAAATTTCGTCGCGAAAGATGTTTAATTGTTAATAGAAGAGAATGTTCGAGAGAAATTCGATTTCGTCAGGATTTTCCTGCGAGTTCCCTCAGTTTCCATCGCGGATAACAGTCGCGGGCGAATTTACACTTTATAAGGGAGAGATTCCCGCGGGAGACGGTTTTTACCGGCGATCGTTATGTATGCAACGCATCGGAACGTTCACGATGAGATTCACCGAGGTCCCTCTAATACAAAGATCCATTATGGAATTTACATGACGGCGTAGCATGCATTTAAATAAGTTGAATCACCTGGTTATTGAGACGGCGCGAATCCCCCGGACTACGGCCGGGAAGAGGATTCGCGATCGACCTCCTCCCACTCTTCTCTGCCGGTTTTAACCGGCCGGAAATCCGTGCTTAATGGCTCGTGAAACCTAGCGTATTCTGTTAAATGCGGCCAGACACTTACTACAACCGGAATGACCATTGATTCTGCCTGTACAGGTGCATCTGTTCTCCAATAATTCGTCTCAGACTTTTACCTTAGACGACAAATTTATTCAAGAATCGAGAAATACCTTTTCCTCGATTTCCATCGAATCGAGAGTAATTTTTCTTCATTTATCGCGTGGCTTTAATACAAAGAATTATGAAATGCTATGGTACAAACAGTTTTGAGAGGTTTGATCTACTGAATTCCCACGGAGAATCCTTTGAACTTATTAATGATTTGTAGAGTAATTAATATCTCCGAGATTTCGGTGATTTTGAAATACTCTGCTGATTGAATCATGGTGATTTGCTTTTAATGGAGACTTCGAATGTTTTATATAATAATGTTCAACCATGAATCTATGTAGCAAGTATAATTGGAGAATTAATATTATCGAATTCCGAAGTGAATAGTATTCGGAGATGATTCCTCGTTTCAGGGAATGATCTCGATCGTATTTTTCACGGATTTTTCGTCGAGTCCCAGTTTCGAGTGGACCGGCGAACGGCCTAAGGCTTCTCCACCGCGAGTCCTCCGTGTTTAACCGCAAACATGACGAAAATTGGAATTATAATTGGATCGTGCGGAACAATAATTGTTAGCCGGGACGCCATTTATTCGGTCGGCGCGAGATTCGCCGAGCCGGCTCCTCGTCCCATTCGTCAAAGTCCCTTGCGCTCTCTCGTTTCGATTCCCAGATAGAATCGAAGGTATTCCGTGTGAACGTGCGCGAGAATTGTGTCCGAGGAGCTGCGGGTGTGACACGATTACAGACGCTCGGAATTTCTACGGAGGAATTAATACCGCTGCGAGAGACGTGTGTTTCATTTTAATTATAATTCGGGAATCGAAACTGCAGGCCGGAGCTCCGAGGAATTGATTATTCGCGACGATTGCATAGCAGGAATTTTCGGGGCTGGTTTCAATCCTCAGGATTATTAGTTCGAATGATTTCGGAAGGAATGCTGATAATGTTTGTACTAAGGACGTCGAAGATATTGATTTTGCAGCTAATACAATTCTCCCTGAATGAACATTTTTAATCATTGAATATTTCCGTAGCCTGTTGGTTATTTTTTGAAATATTGGTTTCGATTATCTCATGGAAAATATGGATGAAAATTGCTATAATTTTCGTGGGAATAGTGGAATGTTAAAAGTGAATATTTAGTAAAAATTACAGCATCTCTCGGAATGAATTTTCATTGAACTATTAGAAATATTAAATTCTCCATTTAATCTAAAATCGGAAGTCCATTATCTAAAACTTGATTTATTCATTGAGTCATTTCATTTTCTCCTAATTCAACTTCCACAAAGACGCCGCGTGTCAATTAGTAACGAAGAACGAATTTCTACAAGTAAAACATTACATTAAGAATTTCCGAAAACTGAAAGTGTCAAAGTTCATTCATCACCACCAAAATATTTTCGCGAAAGGGTGAAATCGTTTCTTTTTCCACGACAGACCGGTCGACATAATTACGGGATTATTGTTTGCCGGCGGCTGGCAACTAAATAAATGTAGATTCGCCGTTGTAATTTCGACCAGGGAGGAAATTGATTCCCGACAGGGTTCACCCATTGTCCCAGTATCCGAACGCACCCTTCCCCGCCCTCGTTTCGCCACCGCCTTCCGTCTCCGCCCCTTCGATCCGCCGCACAGTGCGATCAACCGGCAGTTTTCTGAGCAAAACTCAATAACTTAACCCTTTGCACTCCAGAAATTTTTCACTGCACATACTCAATGTTTTCTAGAGATTCAGATGAAATTTCTTGAAAAACCTGATGAGAAATCGCACATACATTGAGGAAGAACACTATTTTCTCCGAATATTTCACGTATCGTTGCAGTATACAAAGTTTCATATTAAACAACAAACTGCAATTTTGAAAAGAAGGAGCGATACAAAGAAATGCTTCAGACAGGAATTGTAAGGTACAGCTAAGCACATGGTGGTTATATTTGTTTTACGTTATGGGGATATTATGGAGCTCTTTCTCAATGACAACGGATACTTCACGCCTCGATTTCAATGTTACGTAGATAGAGACGCAAGGTTTATCCGCGGAAAATTGTTATTTTTCACATGAAAATCATTTTGTACAGCGGAGACTAATTAGCAACACATTGGTAACTTT